ATGGGAAAGCAGAACGTGGCATCTTTGTGGGGAAAGTTCCTTCAGACCCTTCCCTTCCTCAGACCTGTCTTCCTTTCTCTTTAGAGTTCCAGCAGTAACCCCACAGCAGCACCACTCTGGCATTATTGGTGTCTTTTCAAGTTGAGGTAGTTTTAGCAGGCAGTCTTTTTGCCAGTCTCTACTCTCCTCATCCTCTGTGTGACAGAAAAGATGAATCTTGTGCCCTTTCCTGTTTGAATAAGGAGAGGCCTCTCAGAGAAGAGAGTTGGACTCTGTGAATCCAAAATGAGGCAGCTCTTTCTTAGCTTCTGTTCTGGCAGCGGGTCTGAGGGTTGAGCTTTCCTTGAGAAGGCCAGGGTAGGCCAGAGTTCTTTTGGGGATGACACTTACTGTTCCTTGCACTTGGTGTGATTTCTTAGGAATAGGCCCTGTGAACAAGCTCAGATCAAAGGATGTGCTGGTTTTGGATGCTCTTCATGCCCTTGGCTTTTAGAAGTCGAGTAGTAGCCAAGGCTGTGGAGGGTAACTTTGCAAAAGCCTTCCTGCCAAAGATGACTCTGTGTGTGCTTGTGAATGTTTCAGAGCTAATGAGAGACTTGCAGAGGCCAACACCAAGCTCTTCTTGGAGCGCCACAGAAGCAAATCTGCAGTCCCAAGCAGCGCTGTCAGCGGACTTCTGGCTGCAAGTCCACTTCTGGATTCACCTGGCCTGGGACATCTTGGCATCAGTTTGGGACTGAGCAGAAGTTTGGGTCTCAGAACACCCCCCAGACACCTGTGGTAAAGCCCAAGACTTCTGCTCATCAGGTTTGTCCAGATTTGCCAGAGTGGTCAAAGGCCCAAAAAGATTGAAATGGAGGCAATGAGCTGTGGAACTCCATTCTTTGACAAGAGAAACTGTGGGAAAGAACACTGTGGCACAGGAACCTCCCACCTCAGTTCTACCCTAAATTTACACCTAGTAATCTTCTGTAGTCTGTGGGGTTTGGCAGGAAGCCAACTCCAACTGGCTACAGATTGTTTTGGTGTCAGAAGTGGGATTGTTTTGGTTCCTTTGGTTTTGTTGTGGGAACATTGTCTGGGAAAGCTGCCAAGAGCAGGTTTGTTTTGTAAACATCCCCCATTGTTTTGGGACACTACCGGGAGAGCTGCCAAGAACAATTGTGTTTACCTAAACATAGCTTTGTTTAGGAACAAGAAGAAAGAAAAATAATAACAATGACCTTTTTACTGAATTTTTTCCTGATTCTTGCTGTTTTTGTGCCTGTCCTAGGACATCGTGTAAGGGACCGTTCAGATGGATGGAACGAATTGCTTCCTTTCCTTGATTTCGACATCCACGGCCTCTGAGCCAGTTTCCTTAATGGTGGCCTTCAAGGTTTGGTAGCAAAGACTCCTAAGATCAGCTCTAACCCATCCCTACATTGTTCAGCGACAATGATCCTAGTGGTGAAGGCAGCGAAAATGCTACTTAAAATTGGAGAGGTGGTGCTGCATTGGTGCCCTTGTTGTACGAAAGGAATCGCTGGAGCTTTGGGAACAAGAAGTGCCAACAGCCACGACAACTGTACACAGGCAACAGGATCGGACGAACCGAGATGCTGTGACCCCCATCCATAGGATGATCCGGAAGTTGGAGAGCCAAGGGGTGGTCAGCAGAACACACTCACCCTTCAACAGCCCCATCTGGCTGTAAGTCTGATGGAGAATGGAGACTGACTGTGGGCTGTCGTGGCTTAATTGAAGTCACGCCGCCGTTGAGTGCCGCTGTGCCAGACATGTTGGAGCTCCAGGACGAGCTGGAGTCCAAACCAGCAAAGTGGTACGTCACCATGGACATTGCCAACGCGTTTTTCTCCATTCCCTCAGCGGCAGAGTGCAGGCCACAGTTTGCTTTCACCTGGAAGGGCGTTCAGTACACCTGGAATCGACTGCCCCAGGGTGGAAGCACAGTCCAACCATCTGCCATGGACTGATTCAGGCCACACTAGAGAAGGCTGAGGCTCCAGAACACATCAAGTACATCGATGACGTCATTGTGTGGGGGGACACAGCAGGAGAAGTTTTTGAGAAAGGACAGAAGATCATCCAGATTCTCCTCGAGGCTGGTTTTGCCATCAAGAAGAGTAAGGTCAAGGGACCTGCCCGAGAGATCCAGTTCCTAGGGGTGAAATGGCAAATGGACGACGCCAGATACCAACAGACGTCATCAACAAGATTGTAGCAATGGCTCCACCCACAAACAAGAAAGAAACCCAAGCTTTTCTGGGAACCATTGGCTTCTGGAGGATGCACATCCCAGAGTACAGCCAGACTGTGAGCCCTCTGTACTTTGTGACCCGTAAAAAGAACAATTTCCAGCGGGGTCCTGAACAAAAACAATCTTTCAGGCAGATCAAGCAAGAGATTGCACATGCCGTGGCTCTTGGACCAGTCAGGACGGGACCAGATGTAAAGAATGTCCTCTACTCTGCAGCTGGAGATAAAGGTCCCTCCTGGAGCCTCTGGCAAAAGGTGCCTGGTGAGACGTGAGGGCGACCACTGGGTTTGTGGAGCCGAAGCTACAGAGGTGCTGAGGCCAATTCCACCCCTGTGGAGAAGGAAATCTTAGCAGCCTATGAAGGCATACGAGCAGCTTCAGAGGTAACTGGTACCAAAGCACAGCTCTTCTTGGCACCCCAGATGGGACCCCAGCATGCAAAGTGTAACTAGATAAGGGAAAAAGGGGGTGGGGTTTATCCATTTTAGGAAAGGGTGGCCAAAAAAGGAAATACTGCAATGCAGCCAACTTTGGCCAATCAGGGAACGGGGTCTAAGGATACAGACATCAAGGGGATGTTTCATCAAACAATTTCAGGGGACAAACAAGGGAAAAACCACAATAAATGTTAAGACACAACCTTAAAACTCGAAAGGCATTGGGTCTGAACTTTCTGACAACTTCGTCCAGGGCTTTCATCCTCTGGAGGGTCACACATTTCTTGTTGTCTTCTCCAGCTTTCATATTCAGCAATGTCCTCACTCCTGACAGACCAGGATCCCCTTTCCAGAGTAATGGAGGAGCATTGGGATTTTTAATCCAAAATTCCCGGATTTGAATGAAAGGCTCTGGAAAGGCTCTGGAAATCATTTGGTGTTCACAGTGAGTCTCTGGTTTCCCATCCCCTGCTTCAGATGTGAAAACATGTTCCTTGCAGTCAGAATGTAAACGCATCAGCTCCATTAAACTTGAGCACTATATCCCATCATCCAGATCATCAGTGAAGATGTTCACCAGGAATTGCTAATCACTGGCCTCCAGCTGGATGTTGCACTCCTGATCACCACCCTGGCCAGAAGATTTCCACCAGCCTGCTGTCTGCTCATCCAGCCCATACTTCATAGGCCTCTCTGTGAGGGAGCCCTGTCCGTGTCCACAGGTACACACATTTATTTTGATTTTAAAAAATCAAACAGAAGTGAGTGTTTTACCACCAGAATTATTTTTCAAAGGGAAATAGAAGTGTAAGAGGTTTTAGTTTTAATGATCATGTTTTACATGATACTAATTGACCTCTAGTAGAAATGAGACAGCACCTTAAGAGACAAATCTACATTCTCTATTTATGCCTCTGAATTACAGATATGGCTTTGATGGAACGAGTGCCTTCAAACTCCATTGGCAGGCACTGTTTGAAAACTATTTGGGTGATGTTTTATCAGAAATGAAAGATACAACAGCAGGAAGCCATTCAGCAATCCCTGACAAGGGAGGTCCACTGTCAATTGCTGGGAGGGCCCCCACCTGTTTCTTTCAATGGTGCTCCCAAATCCCACCTCTTGGGCCTCCCATCCCATCCTTTTTGGTCCCCTCGGGCATCTCCTCCCCAGCATCTGCTCTGTGTCCTACCCAGGGTCCCCAAACATCCTCCCACTGATCATTCCCAAAGCTTTTCTTTCCGTCTTTCCCCTCAGACCTTTGCCTTTCACCCAGGCCACTGCCCTGGTACCTCCCAAGACCATTCCTTGCCTCCCTCTCCACTCCCAACCATCTCCCAGTCCCCTCGTTTTTGTCCTCCTCCATCCTCCTCCTCCTGTCCCCACCAAGCCTCTCCCTTGCAGTCCCCATGTCCCTATACTTGAATTCCTTTCCCCTCCCCTGCATCCCACACAGGGCCCCTTCAACACCCCAATCCCAGTCCCCTGGGTTCCCCAGTTTCCCCCAGTTCAGCATCTTTGGGTCCCTCCAACCTCCCCCCACCATCCCTGCAGGCCCTGAATTCCCCTGGCTCTCCTTGTCTCCATCCCCACCCTGGGCCCTGCAGGAACAGGGGTTGGAGGTGAAACTGGGTGGAGTGGGAGCGGAGGGAGCAGAAGGGATTTTCCCCCTCAGATGGGGGCAGCCCTGGGCTGGGGGGGCTGGGGACACCCGTGTCCCTCCCCCAGCCCCACAGGGGCCAATCCTGAGCAACCCTTTGCTCTCCTTCCCCAGGCACTCTTGACAGGAACCCAAAATGATCTGCGGGAGGTGAGTGGGCCGGGGGGACTGGAGGGCATCCAGTCTGGGAACTGGGGGACACTTTGGTCCCCCCATCCCTCGCTGGCACCGGGGACATCCCAGTGACCAGCCAGGGCTCCTGGTCTCTCTCCAGCTGCATTTAGTGGACGTTGGGATCCTGAAGATGGCTCAGGTGGGTACCAGGAGTTCTGCCTGAGTCAGGTCCTCCCCTCACATGGCCATGACACTCCCGGCCATCCCAGTCTGCCCCAGTATACCCCAGTGCACCTTCCCCAAGGATCCCATTTCTTCCCCCAGGCTCCCAATACATCCCACTGCACCCAGTGTGTCTCTAAACATGCCTTTGTCCCCACTCCCCTGTGGTGGAGAAGGTGGTGGGTCCTGTTGGTGAGATGTGGCTGCATCCCTGGATGTTTGAGGTGAGCAGTGCCTGCAGGGAGAGGGGTCAGGACAAGGCCCCTCTTGTGTTGCAGTGGACTTTGGGGGTGACATTTTGGGCTCTGTCTTTCAGGACTGGTGGTGACACCCGTGCCCTGTCCCACTCCAGTGCCATGAAGAGATGATCATCCCTGGAGGACCCACTGATTTTCCTCAGAGCCCAGGGGCATTTCCCCTGAATGATCAATAAATCCCTTCAGCAAAGCTACTCTGCTTGATCTTTGTGTGTTCCCATCTCCACGTGTGTGTTCCCATCTCCACATGTGTGTTCCCATCTCCATGGGTGTGTTCCCATCTCCACGTGTGTGTTCCCATCTCCACGTGTGTGTTCCCATCTCCGTACCTGCATTCCCGTGTCCCTCTCCCCTCCTTCTCCAGCCCCTGCACACCTGGTGCCTCTCTGGCCGCACCCCCACCATGAGCAGAGAGGCTCAGGGGG